ACAATAACAGATGTTACAAGACCTTGCTTCAGTCAATTATATCCGCAGACCTCACAGCCCACATCAAACCTCTTTTATGCTTTAAGGCATTTTGTTTCTGCGAAATAAAAGAAATGAAAGTAAACTCCCTATGCAGAAAAGCGCCAATGGCGTGTTCTGGCTAATAGTGTCGAACAGTTTATATTAATCTGCGTATGAAGCTATTTTTGCATGGTGTTTGAAACCATTCATTTGAAAGAAAAGAGGATATATCTGACCAGTACTTTTTCTCATGCGACAAAGAAATATCCGAAGTTTTCCATTACAAGAAATTGCTTCGCAATGTTTGCTTTAACAATCGAACGCAGAAAAAAATTTTTACCCACATTTTCTCCTAGAAATGCCCTACCGGAAGTCAATTTTAGACTGGTTGCCGCCTGCTACAATTTAAAACTGTACACTAGTTCTAGCTGAACCTCTAGTATTCATTATAACAACTCATCGGTTTACTGCTGAAAACTTTATATTCACAAGCTTTCTTAAGCGGAATGACGTCAACATACCTCGACAAATCTGATGCGAGGCGAGCGTCCGATTGCTTCCAGCCAAATGGATCGCTAAGTTTTACCTGTGAAGGTTACCTATCAGTATTGAAATCAAGGTCGCATTCACGACGGTTGCAATATTCTCAGAATAGCAGTCCACATTTTACGGAAACCCGCATTATTATTCAGCATCAAAACTTGCAAAAGAATAAATCAAGCCAGATCATGCAAAATAGTTAATGTCGGACGCCAGGCTGATGAGAATATCACAAAGAAAAAGCACCCACACGACGCTTCCGCAAGTCTGGACTTGCGGCAGTTGTTTGCTGTAAACTACGTCGATTGATGTCGATATTGCCGTTTAATATGTGCCCAAAAAATCCAGGAAGGTTAAGACATGGGTGTACAACAGAAGTCACATCCATATACAAAAAAATAAATTCAACATATAAAAACACGAAACACCTCAATAGCTTGCCAGAGAGTCTAAGTCATAATAAATCATATTGCAAGTACATTCGGCTATACACTTGTAAAATAAGGCATGGAAAAGAAATCGTGCTTGACATGACCATTACAAATAAAAAATTTGAATTCGACGATATGGTGTCCCTTCAAATTGCTTGTCAGGACAAAATGTTTCGCAATGTCCTGTGAATCTAGCTGGGATACGTGACTTTATGCTGCCCCCCAAAACTCAGGTACATCAGTATGAACTTAGATGAATTTCTGCAAAAGCGCTACATGTCGGTAATTTCTACGGTCACTTAAAGTGCTGAGAATGAAAACCCAAGGAAAAGAATGGTATTCGAAGAATAGTGTTCTGTGAAGATGCCTATCCCAGACTATTCAAACTAAACGTCTCTGTACCGCTTCAATATGCATACATTCACATTCCAATAAACTGTTCCACACAGTATAAGCAAATACAAGTCGGGGCCTTTCTCTGAATATATCGTTGAACGCGAGGCCAGATCGCACTAACAAAAATAAAGCATCTAAAGGAGTTACGCGGGGTAAGAAACTGCTCGCCGCATACGAAAGCCTCCATGTTGGTTATGGTTTCAAACCAAATCGGACGAGGGGATCACGTGATGTTTCTCAAAACGCTAATGGCTACCTATATTGTTTGTTTCTCAAACATAAAATATGTCAAATAAACGACAATTTTTGCACGGAGAAATAATTTTACAACCAACATACTACATGTCAGTCACGTCTCTAACTAATAATAGCCGATGAAAAGGACCGTAGCCAGCCCCGTCCATTTCCCTAATGGGTGGTTGGGACATCGAACTCCACCTAAATTGCGTCTGACGGCGTAAATATTACACTAAATTGTTTTGTTTCAATTGTTTGCATAAAACACGCGTCCCGTACGTTTTTAAAGGTTTCTTTTTAATTTAAATGTGCCTCTGACAGATTGCTTTCCAGATCAACCACATTATATACTCTAAATTTCTCTTTTGAAGCAAGTTTGCTATTTAGTATGTCAGTAACCATAAAACAGTTAATACATTCTAAACAGGGTCCGTATTAGATTCTGCTGCGTATGAATGGATTAGTAATTTGAGTTAGGTCAGCGGTTTAATTTAAGCAAGAACCAGATTTGAAAAAATAGATAGATTTTTTTTGTGATATTCCACTACGTGGCACCTTATACTTTGCTCTGTAAAACAGTTTCTTTTTAATTGTTTTACAAGGCTCTTTCGTTTATAGGGGTACGTAGGCTATATCATCATTTAATTTTTAAAACATATTAAGCATACCCTTCTGCTTGGTGCAATTTAAATGCAGGCACACTCTATACACTAACACATAGCTTGTAACTAGGGCAATTACCACTACTTCACCAATATTTTTAACTTGGATTTTGGGATTTTAGATTAATGATTAATCTGACGAAAGTTAATTGAAATTTCAGTAGAAAATATATTAAATTACTTGCTACGTTTTAATACAAACAACAAAGCAGTGCACACGCAGATCGGCTAGCTTAGCAACATGCAAACAATACAGGTCGACATACGAAACCGAAAACACTTTTTCCAAAAAGAGTGAGTCAGAAACAAGGATACGTAAGTCGAAATTTCAGTAAACAGGTGGTTTTTGACCCGTATTGTTCTGTGGTTTTATGTAAACAGTTCTATTGCAACACAATTCTACCAACACTTGTTTTGTTTGTCTATCGTTTTTTTTTGCTCCGAAATATTATATGCAATGTACCCTTAGCAATATCTATTGTTACGTGACTGCTTGCTATGATATAAAAGATGTAAGAATTGCTCTTCAGACTACAGACCACCACCTCATCGTTCTTAAGGTAAATATAATCACGTAAGTTTTTTTTCTGTAATTGATGTTTTCTGTGACCAGTATCTTCCACAGTAGAGCTGTTTTGTAACAGGAGATCAGTGCGTTGGCTTATAATAGTACATTACTGTTTTACCTGTGTGAAAGGCTACAAATTTGAACGGAGAAGAGCATACATTTGTATGACGGAAAGAAGTATGTTTCTCCGTCAGCCGTATGCTTGTTTTAATTATGGCAATATCCTGCTTGATACATACGAAACCGATCTACGTTTACGTACAACTGAACACCAAAAGTAGAGTTTAAGGAAAGCGTAAAAAGGCAGCATAAAACAGTTGGAAGTACTTAAGATGGTGCCAAGGTGTACTGAAAAAGAAAGAAATAATAAAAGCCATCTAAAATAACATCTGGTTTTCGTAAAAATCCAGATTAAAAAAATCGTACTATCTTATAGTTCGGCCTATATTCTCCCGCTTTTTCAGCGTTTTTCAAACATAGTAATGAATAAATTGGACCATTGAACTCCATGCTACACGGAAAGTAAATTTTGTTTGCTATGAAACGCACACATTATGTGTCTTTGAACATCTAAAAGCCAATAGGGCTATAAAGACACGTGAGCCTCAACACTCATCTTTCTTGTCAGATATGTTAAGAAAAATGGTCCAGTATTGGTTTAATATGTTGAACGTGCATGGTGACTGGCATAGCTTCTGATATAGGTGTAAATTTTACAATGCATATGAATATATGTTTTGTTTTTTTAAATTTGGAGGTTTGTAATAACATTGCTATGAAAGCCAATTTGATGCGATCAGTGCAGTTTCGTTACACGGCTAGGTTGGCAAATTATAGGAGGTAATCATCACAATAGGCACCTAATTAGCTAGATTTTGTTATTTAACTTTTTCTAGTAAAAATCAAGATTTCCTTCGAAGCAGTCACCTGCTGACCGTCATTGAAAACTGATAAACTGGTAAACGCACGAAATATATGGTGCGCTAAAGTGAACACTTGTGCAGCTGGCGCATAGCTGACGGTAAGAATAGGCTGGTGAAAGACCGAAAAACTGGGCGGACAGGTTTTCCCACCAGCAGCCTGTGGCTCTGCAGGAGCGATAACAAAATAGCACCGTGGGTATCATGCGCTTCTAGGTTTTCTAATGTTTAGGAATTTCATAAATCTTGATGACGCTCAGAAAGTTTGCCATGAAAACTATATGGTAATATTGAATAATTAAAGGTAAAGTAACCAATCTATGTAATTAATTGACTTATCGCGAAGATCATTACCCTATATTATGTCCCCCTGGCCGTTTAACGTACATGTACGAAGCCCAGTAGTGTAAGCTCTATGGTTTAAAAATCAAAAATCTTTGAAGCCTAAAAACGAATTGATTATAAACGCCTCGCTTCAAATTTATAAACTTACTTTTGTTTGACTTCCTCAAATGTTCATTAAGGATTACGATGTAGCGACAAAACTCCAAAATGAAATGAAATTACTAGCACACTAGTTTATTTCTAGGAACATTAAAACTCCTCCAGGCTTTTTACGTATACGTTTAGCACATTACATAGATAAAAAGCCCCGTTGTAATCTCGGCATTTTGCCCATCTATACACTAGAAATAAGAAATAATTGCTCAACAATTAACTGTTCACTTGTGGAAGCAAGCGGCGCAGGCCGCCCTTGTGTTAATGGTACAGCGAGCTAATTATTAACAAAACCCATAAATAAAATAAAGTTGTAATATTTAAAGCTTCGCCCTCGTTGGTTGTTAGTGAAGAAACGACCGGCAACAATACAGGACGAATCCTGCCTAAATTTACCTCGGCGCTTACTTTTTTTCTTTCCGCCTACCGTTACTACGTGTGTGAGAAGGACTTAGAAAGGCGAGGAGAAAGCGTGAGATGGCAAATAGAAGGCAGAATGCTGTCGCCGGTTCGCGTAAAAGAAAGAGCTTAAAAATATCTGAAAATTGGGTGACATATTATTCATAGAACTTTGTCTTCCCATTGTTGATATATGTAATATAATTTTTTAAGTGAAAGTAAAAAATTTGTATTTGCAACTAAAAATGCCATCTATACAGCGGTTAAATGTATTTAATTAATCTTAATTTGTCGTTCGATTGAATAACAAATTACATTTTGAATAAAAATGATTAAGAAATCTCAGTTACTCGCCCATGTTTGTGAACCCATAAAAAAAAAACAATAAAAATATATGTATACCACACTCTTAGGCTCAAACTGCCATGTTTTGTTTTCTTTGTATTTCTTCTCTTAGGTGGAAAATAACCTGGAAAGCAGGATAAAAATGATGTTTCTGGCAATTTTTGCTGCGGTTCTCACTCTGCACGTTTTCGTTGACGGTAAATATGATATCACGTATTAAACGCTGTCTGCTCAATATTTGTCAATAAAAATTGATATGAAAGGTACATATAAGTACGATCTTTAATGGATTTAAAATATATATAATGTCAGCATATGGTTATCAAATCTGGTCACAACAGATACTATACAGATTGGCATGCAAGGCTACTTGCTCGCTTTCTCCGTACGAGTACCATTATGCAGACTGAGTATAAATTGTTTTGACTTTGAACAACTGTTTGTGTGCAGTGTTTCGCTCATGCTGCCATAGTAACCTTGCTAAAAAAAGTTTGGAACTCGTACAAGTGGAAAACTGGTAGACCTATTCAGGTCATAAGATATTATAGGATTGTGGTACTCGTTTAATGCTGATACCCTTTTGATACGTGTACCCGTCTGATACCGGCAGCCTTTTGATGCAAATGCCCGGTCGATAGGGCACCCTTTTGAAAACAGCTTCTGGCTACTAAGAAAATTTCTTTCTTAGTCCCATATATGAGGCGTCTAAAAGAGCTTAACTCCCTTTAGAAATAGCCGTTTGAAATTTCAACAGATTCACACCCGAGGCCGTTCAACCATACGTTTCGAACCTTCGCTTAGCAGCCTATCCGGGCTACTCACCGGTGGAATCAAAACACTCACAGGTTTATCAAATTTCCCACCGGTTTGATCAAACTGGTTAAAGGTTTTATCAAATAACGAGCCTATGACGCTTTCTTCGACATACATTTTGCAGAGTAGCTCACTTAAGAGAATGCATTGAACGTGTTCATCATTTTTAACTGAATAACCCTGCATAAGCAAAAATTAACATCGATTAAATCAACAACACCTTAAACTATATATGCGCTGCATTGCACCACTTTAATTCTAGGAACCCGTTTGCCGAAGAGAGGAGTGGCGTTGCTTCGGTTAAAGTTGTGGAGGTCTAAATGGGGTAGAGTAGGCCAGGCGGGGGGCCGACCGCAGAACCGCCACCCCAAATCGGATCACGTTAACCGCTATGGCGGGTTTAATGCTTGCTGGAGGCACAATACGCAACTCTCGAAAGCACGCATATGGGAACAAACAAGTGCAGGGACACCTAAGGGGCTTATTACCCCAATAACATGCTATGAATGAAACACTGTACTTGGTTTAACTCCACGAAGGTCCGCATCGAACGATTCAAGCTATCAATGTCAGTCCAAGTCGTGCGAGCTTCACGCATGAACCTCGGGAAGTGCACCGCGACGCTTAGTCATGTGATACGCTTACAGTGCTGGATTGGCTTACAAATTGGTGAGCAGTTCTGAACCGGTTCAGGAGGCCGCCGTGCGATGTGACCTTGTTCACATGCCGCTTCGGTGATGCAGGATAGCGGGTTGATTACATCTGTGAGCAGTTCGACTAAACCGATAAGCAGTTTAACCAATTCGGTGAGCATTTCAAACAAACCTCTGAGCAGTTTCGTTATACTGCTAAGCGAAGATTTGGTCCGGTTACCGATATGCTTGAACGGGTACCCGTTTGAACCTGTCCGAATTTTAAACCTTTTTTTATAGATTATGAAGCCAAACCAGTTGTGCTGGCATTCCCTGCCCCCTACGGACCGCGGGAGGTATACATGAACGGAGTGACGAATGAATCAAACCACAGATTTCTGGTTGTAGACTGTTCTGTTATTTTGAAGTCTATGTAATAATAAGACTGGAGCTGTTCAAGGAAGCACAAGCGAGCAGATGCACAGAATAAGTACTAGTGAGGAACTGAAACTGAAATATTTAACAAGTTCTGCTACGCTATATTTTATGATATGTAGATGCAATCACTTTCACTTGGGTTTTTTCGGGTTCTCGTTGTCCAATAGTGGGTGCCAGTGCAGGGTTTTCTAAAAGCCGCTTAGTTTTGCTTGAAGCGCAATGCTGAGAACAGGCCTAAAAAAGTTCGTAAAACCTCAGATATGTACCTCGTTTCTCAACACCTCCAACTGAGGAACTGGAGTTTGTGAAGCATAAAAAGTATTCCCGTCAATACAAGAGAATATGTGTAGAATAATTCGTTTGGACTGTCTACTTTGGTCTCCGTAGGTACGGGACTGTGATCTGTTTTAAAGACTGACAAATCTAGCGCACTTCGTTTGTAAAAGGATGTCAAATTTGAGTTCTTCCTAAATCAAAACTGAGAAAAAAAAAGAAAGAAAGGGCCGATGGTATATTTGTGTAACTTCAGCCGAGAAATCAATCCATACGATTATTTACAATCTGCTTTATTTTCCGCGTTCCACCCCCAAAATTCATCTCTAACCTTTAGCAAGAATTGTAACTTTCACACCCGATTTAGGTAACTAGTCGGGAACTTCCCTTTCTATATGCATAAATTGATGCAGCGAATACCTTGAGTATTTCTACATGAAAGTTATACCATCAACCAGTACCTTTTGAATTAATTACAGCCTTGGGAGACCGATGCGGCGATATTTGTTAAAGTGGGGTCTACTGAACGTACAAAAATAAAATATATATTTTATGATTTAAAATTTATACCTAAATATAATATAAAATTCTATAGTTATTGGTACCTCTTCTTCAATTACAAGACCCATTGAGTACGAGAGCTTGTTTCAAGGTCTGAGAAATGTTAACTTTCTATATAAGGTTTAGGTTGAGTGAAATGTAAGATTTTTCAGCCCACTACGGCTGCCTTCCTGCTGTTGTTTTGGAGCTTTCCTTCTTAGTCGCTTTGTTTTCATTACATCTGAGAAAGATCTAAAAAAGTAACACCATTCTTTCAGAGCTGTAATTCATAAAAGCTTAACGCAACTGTATATATTTGATTTCTTAAAACCTGTTAAGATGTTTGCAGGATGTCAGTTTGTGAGTTTTAATTATTCTACTAGAATAATAACGACTTTCCGTGTTCCAGTACCCTTGAATGAGTGTGAACTATCCACTTATATATGTTATTTACTGAACATTGTAGTTACTGTTGTTACTTGCTATGGCAGTATCGATCGATCAGTTGTTAATATTATAATTGTCAACATTCATTTTATAAAAATCCAACACCCTAGGTGTTTACCCAAAAAGATACGTTGTTCTGATTATAATTATTTAGGTGCGGTCTAAGTCCACGGTGTGCTAATGTTTTTATATACCGCGTTTTCCTGCGAAGACTTCTAAAAGTTCCTAAAAGTAGGATGGTTTCGAAGAAAAAAAAGCTATTTTAGGGAACAAACTGGCAGGCGTCAGGGATTGCAAAACTATACTACACAGTAAAATACTTAATTAATGTTAATTAATTAACTTTCTAGTTGGTGAATATAAACAAATGGTTTGATTTAGGAACACACGGGAAGTGCTGGCCATTCCCATGTGTGCAGCTCCACTAATGGAGCAGACCGGCGAGAAGGAAACGCGGATTACATTCTTATCATTCCTGTTTTCGCGACATCTTTACGCACAAAATATATTGAAATATTTTAATTTAGACAGAATTGTACTACTTGCATAAAATGTAACGAATTAATTTTCCACTACGTTTTTGGCAGGAGAGCTTTTGAAACCAGGGCAAGAATATAATTGCTACTGGGCAATTGCTAACGCAAGTGATAGAGTGTGTCGCAACCATGATCAAGATGTAAGTAAAATTTCAACAGTTCCTTTTTTATGAGCACTTATATTCGGCCTTGAAAGAGGTTGGCACAATAAATCAACGGCCGGGGTGGTGATTAGGATTGCTGCAGTATTCTGAATACAAGTGAAAGAGAGTTGCCAGGAGTTTCAAGTTTTTCTGTCATGGGAGCGCTACGGTGGAGTGTTAATGAAAAACAAATATAGAGTTAAAGGTTTCCACCCCCCCCCCTCTCGCTTGGCACAACATTTCACTGACTGGCATCAAAATAAAAGCTACCAAGGTCTGTAATACACTAATTTCGCTCTTTCTCGCGTGACACGTGAGTTTAAACGTGGCGGCGTTAGTGTGCAAATAGCCCTGAAACACTTCCGGTTCCCAATTAGACGGCGGGTTTCGCTGTATCTCCGAGATTAAATCTACGCGCTATTCCTGAAAAAAAGGCCCCCCCCTCCCCCCTTATGCCTTTTACACATAATTCACTCCTATACATAATGCATAAAAATAACTCGGACCTGAAGTGCGCCAGGGCTACCGAATAGATGGCGCCACTGAGTTTGCTGTCAAACAAGAAAGGGTGACTAGAAAGGAATATATTGCTCAATAAGCATGCAAAATGAGGAACCGTGTACCGTCATGTAGGGTTGGCAAGAGCCTGACGAAAACTAGCGGCGCTTCAAAAGCGCTGAATATGACTCAAAATCGCGCACAAAGAGACAAGGACAAAAGAGGAAGGAACTCAGAACATAGAGAGGCGCGTTCTGTGTTCCTTCCTCGTTTGTCCTTGTTGCTTTGTGCGCGATTTTTCATAATGTTCAACGTTTACCAACTCGCCCAGCTTACCACTTTACTCAAAAGCGCGCTTTCGTAACGGCTCCACTTGCAACAAAAGTGGTCCCCGAGCGGCTATTTCCTTTCAGATATGTTTGATAAAACTCTGAGTAGAAAGCTTTGTTATGGGGCTTTTAGCACTGCATGGTCGATTGCCATCCTCTCTCCGTTCCGGCAGTCACTAGCTTCTACCAAACTCTATTAGCTTGGACTGTTTTTTAGAATGTCAGGAAGAAAAGTGTTACGCGTTGAGGGACGTCAGCTTCGTGTGTAAGTGACACCGACTGCTAAAAATGCACGCACAAGTTGAAAAAGAAAAAGAAATTACGGCAAGAGTGCAAAATATGGCTACACGATGCAAACACTGAATTTGAATCACTAGTTTACAAACTTAAAAAATAAAATAAAACATATATTTTAGATCCATATAAAATATAACCTCCCTGTATCGGAGCAATATAATGAGACTACCGTAACCCGTAACAATTGATTGACTCAACCGAACATCAAAAGTGTCATAAATAGTAACACTGCACAAAACGGGGGTATAAAGATCGGGTGTTCACTTTTATAAATAACCATCTGGAATTGGAGAATACCTACGTTTTAACATAGCAAAGCTTAAATCAATTTAGCCGTACGTCCATCGCTAGCTATTTTATAGTTTGGCTGTATTCTCACAAAATTATAATCGTCAGCGGCGAGTGTATGCTGTATTGCGTGCCTGACATTTTCAATACATCGCTATCTATCCTTGATATGTACCTTGCACTGCTACAAAAAGAAAACAAAAAGAAAAACAGAATATTTTTTTATTTTTTATTTTTTATTATCACCAACTAAATTTGAAAGCAAGGATTTTCTAAAATAAAATATATTGCAATCTCAAAGGTGCAGTGAGTTACGAACTGGTCGCGAGTATCCGAATGAATGCCTTCATGTGTTGTATCATCCAAAATAAATTGGCCAAGGCTCTATAATGCATTTTATCTTGTCCTTTCAGGGATTTTTCTTTTTCAACCTTCACACATGTTCAGCTCGATGTAGATCTGGCCAGATTGAAAGGCGACTACCTCCCAGAATTATTTGCGACCCATATCATCTGGTAAGGCGCCTTAAGTCAAAAAACAATTTTACGGTACCGTAAACAAGGAAGGTAGATAAGGACGTTTTGGATGGGAGGCTCCCTATTAATAGCAAAGTGAGGGGGTGAAGCCTAAGTGCAGTCATTTTTTTATATTCGTATGCAAAGCAGAAGCCAAGTTTCCTTTGGTATTCACGTTGTGCGGCGTTACGCGTCCTTGGATTTCTCTCTGAATGGCACACAAGCAACTGCACCTAGCGTGCAAACCGGAATCTATCATGTCTTCTGCTCACAGGAAGGTGCGTCTCATTCATTTGTAAAGCTCGCCGCCATCTTCCTGTCCGCATGACGGTTTCACCTGAAGAGCGCCGTCGCCACTCCAGCAGATCCTCGTACAGGGAGTTTCACCTAACCTGTGCCAAGAATTAAACAGAAAGGTTGAAGTCTACGCGTACCGAACTAACGCAATATTGCTAACAGTCCTATAGAAAAACTCAATGGATTGTCGCGTTGGTCAAAACGTTTTAATTAACACAAAATTATAAGCGTTTTACATATTACTTTGTGGCTAAACCCACCAATACAAAAGTTGTATTCCTGTTGAGAAATATCATATCGTGTCGTTTCAGTCAAGGCAGCCTTCGTGTACTTAGTTGCTTTAAACTATTAAGGAAGCGCGAGATAATAAAAAAATTAACTCCTCGATACAAATGGCTTAGGTATCACAGTTCACCTGTGCGTAGTCACGTGGGACGTTTTGTGAACCTCGCGCTTTATATTGTCACTAATGACATTTGATGAGGCGACGAGTAACCGAAGGAAACTAAACGTTTAATAAGGCGAATTTGTTCCCAAAATGAAATAGAGGAAGCCGAGCATCGCAGGCGTGGATGTCGGGAATAGAGCAGGATCGAGCGCTGGGGCGCAATTGACTCCGAACGGCGCGGCGCGGCGCGGCTTGCTTGAGACTTCCCTGGGAGCCCAAAACATTCTACCTTGTTCGATCTGGAAGCAGATACCTGAGCATAAACCAGCTACACGGCTCTCCAACGTTCGAGAACAGGGGTGGCCAAGCTGCGACTTGCGAGCCGCATGCGGTTCTTTCCGTGTTAAAGTGTGGGTGGTGGCTCTCTAGGAAACCTACCTCACCCCCTCCCCCCCTTTTCCCGCCTCCCTCCCGGTCATACGAGCACTTCCCAAAGAAGAGAGAAGAAAAAATTAACGCGTTTTAAATTGAGAGACAAATTGCGGCTTGGTATAGTCTTGCGCTACTGCTTCCTCACGTACAGTTGGACTGCTTTTGTCACGGATAGATGTAAAGTAGTTGGTTTCGTTTATTGCACACACAAAGAAGTTTGGAACATCCCACATAAACCCGCGAAGTCCAAGCTAGCGGCGGTAGGGACAGTGCCGGTAGATGTGGTCTGCCTCTCCGCCATGGCAGCAAAGGGGGCGCCGGTCTGCCGTCCTCCAAACGTCGGTCTTCCTCGTGCCACGTTGCTCTGGGCGGCATACTGCGGCGCAGGTGTCCCACGTCGGGGAGCTGGCTGGTATTGTCGTGCGACTGAAGGTGCTCTCTTGGAGGCGGCGGCGTAAGACAGGGCCGGCTGTTCGGGAGCCACTGCGACGGGGACCTCTGGCAAGAGAGTCCGGTGTACCTTCTCGCGAGCAGCCTCCACGATCGAAACAGCGGCTGGTCGTTTTGGAGAGGGAAGCAACCGTTTAAGTTCTTGAATAATATCTCCAATGTTCTTCCGAAGGTTCTCAATGGCAACGCCGCCGAGGTCAAAGCGGGAAGATCGAAAGGATGAGGCGGTATCTACACCGGCGAGTCTGTAATAATATCCCACCCTGGCCGACAGCGCTTGCTCAATCATTGTTACCTAAGCAACAAATTCATCCATGGGCGTCAGGGGATTGCAAACGAGGTCGTCAAAAGTCTCGCTCTTCACGCCTTTCATGAGGACGTGCAGCTTCTTGTCTTTGGTTGCCACAGGGTCCGCACAAGCGCATAGGCGCTGCACATCTTCAATGAAGCTCGTCACACTCTCGTTGTGACCATGGCATCTTGTTTGAAGGCTGTCCTCGGCTCGTAGTCGTCCATGTTAGTTTGTGAAGGTCCGCTTCTGCTCCTCTACGCAGGTCCCCCACGTCGTGAGGGAAGCCTCGTGTTCTCAAACCAATGCATTGCCTTTCCCTCCAATGAAAAGTAAATGTTGTGAAGGCGCTGTTCTGCCGTCCATACGTTGTAGCGTGGCACACGCTCGTAGTGCTGAGGTAGTAAATCCCCCACATTCTATTGGGCTTCACCCATGAATGGCGTCGGATTGCGTGGGATGACAGGCATAAAGACCGTGAATAGAGCGGTGGAGGTCTGCGGCGACAGGTTGCTCATGGCTTTGATCTTGCTCTTGGGTGGCAGGAGATCAAACTTCGGGGCCTTGCCTTAAGTGCGGCATCTTTTTCGGCTGTCGGCTTCCTTCTCGAAAAGACGTCTTTCGCTGGGAAGAGGGCTAGCACTGCGGGCCCTCGGAGGGGCAGGCTGCAAGGGTTGTACCCCTCACCATCACCAAAATGTGTTGAAGGACAATCGATGACGCGACGAATGACTAAAGGAAACTAATGTATAATGGAGCGAACTTGCGACCTACACGAAATAAAAGAAGTCTACCGTCGCAGGCGACGGTGGACGTCGTCGGCGAAACAGCAAATTTGAGCGCGCTGGGGCGAGACTGACCCCGTACAACGCGGCGCGGCATCTTTTAAGCCTTCTCTGGGAGCCTAGAACATTCCATCTTGTTTGTTCTTGAAGTATACATTTTGAGCACGAATAAGCTACAAGGCTCTCCGACGTTCTAAAATGTTCTACTTACACACACACACACACACACGCACAAATGAAACGACAAGCGGTGGCGGCATTTAAACCCATGCCCTCTGCGTGGGAGACAAGCGCGCTGCCTACTTATATAGCTGCGCACGTGGCAATATAAAGTTTGACAAATTCGGTACAAAAGGGCGAGATTGATAAAAACTACATAAGGGCATGTTTTTCAACACGCTCTGTAACTTTCCTATTGGGGTGTTAAGTACCGAGTGAGGCAGGGCACCTTGGTGGATTTAGCCCTATTCGCCCTGCTTTACTGACTCATATATACAACGTGGTCCTGTTCGAGAAGCCTCGGGGTAGAAATGGCTGTGGCTAGCGTTGGCACGCGCAGGTGCATTGACCTATGTTCGCGCGCCTCGCTCTCTCACGATACACTTCAGTACGCAACACCTTCCCGCTAAACGTAATCCTGCAAGTACCGAGGACGACGCTGTTCGCGCTGTAGGCGTCCTAACGAAGAAACACCTGGAGTTGAATTTGGAGACTGCAGATGCGGTGTTGATAGGTTATTCTGGACGGACTCTTCCGTACTCGACGTGACGTCCGGCCCGACGTCATGTCCAGTAGTTCCGAAGTCTGGCACGTCGCAGCTGCCCCTCAGAGTAGGGTTTCGCATATTGCATTTGGTACTTCGGATGTGATCGATGTACCGCCGCCACACACGTCCGTCTTAAAGCTGTACCTAGTAAGAGACAGGTTCCAACCTGCATAAAATCTCCCCTGGCAACCAGCGGTTCCCGCTTGCGCTGAAATACATTGCAAACACGGGGCTTCCCTGCGCGAACTGTCGAACAGCCTTCCGACCGTCGATCTCGAAAGGTGCCTCCTGGCGCTGGGTCACGATTGACTGTTGATCAGGATGTAGCTGATCTAAGGCTGATCAGAGTTGTCGACCCAACAGAAGCTCTGCAGGGCTCTTTCCTGTTGAGGTGCTTGGGAGAATTTGTTGCTCGAACAAGAACCTGGCCAGACGAACGCACCAGTCCTCCCGAATTATTTTCTTTATGACTTCTTCGTCTCCTGCACCATGTTATCGGCTTGGTCATTCAAAGATGGGAGGTACGGTGCCACCAGGACTTGACGGATGCCGTTTCGACAGAGGGAATCCTAAAAATCGCCTGAAGTGAAGGCAGTACTGTCCGAAACCACCACGTCCGGCAGTCCGTGCGTAACGAATAAGATACGGAGTACAGTGATCCCAGCCGAGGAGGACGTAGATTTGACTCGCAGGACTTCCAGCCATTTGGAGTGGGAATCCACTACGGCGAAAAAATACTCGCCCTGGAAGGGACCCGCAAAGTCGACGTGCAGTCTCGACCACGGTCTTGTCGTAAACTCCCACGGGTGGACGGGGGCGCGGGCTGGGGCGTTTCGGGATTCCTGACACGGAACACAGCACCGCACTGGGCGTTCTATATCTTGGTCAAGGCCCGGCCACCAGAGATAACCCCTTGAAAAACCCTTCATCCTCATAACCCCCATATGACCGCTGTGCAATAGGTCCAACATGGTTTCTCGAAGAGGTGGGAGTGTGATGACACGGCTGCCCCAGAGAATGCAACCATTATAGGCAGACAGTTTGTCGCGGGGAGAGTAGTAAGGCCTGAAAACCTCTGGAGGATTCTCTGATGGCCAGCCGTGCAGGATCCAACGCAGTACCCGGGAAAGAAAACGATCTTTCTTCGTCAGAAAAGCCACTTGTTTTGCGTCGATGGGTACCTCTGGCGTTGATTCGATGCGTAGCACATCACGAAGAGGAGGCACCTCAAAATCTTGAATCTTCTGAAGAAGACGGCTGAAAGGGTCAGCGTTGCCCATCTGTTTTCCAGGTCTGTTAATGAGCTCATAATCGTACTGGGCTAACATCAGGTTCTAGCGCAACAGACGCGGTGACAGAACCTGAGAAATTGGCTTGCTGTGGCATAGTAACCCCAGAAGAGGCTTGTAGTCAGTAAAAATCTTGAAATGTCGTTCATACAAGAACTGACGAAACTTATTCGCACCAACTACGACAGCCAACGCCTCACGATGCGTCTGCGAGCAGCCTATTTCGGCTTTTGTCATCGATCTTGATTCATAGGTCACGGGGAATCCTTCACCGGGTGGTGACACATGGCTCATGACAACACCTAGGCCATACGAAGAAGCGTCGCAGGCCAATATTAAGGGACACTCGACGTCGTAATGTCCCGACACGGTCGAAGGCTGTAGAAGATCTTTGGCGCGTTGGAAAGCTACCACTTCCTCTTCTCCCAACTTCCACGATGCACCTTGGTCCAGCAACCAATGTAGGGGTCCCAAGACGTGAGCAGCCCCCCTTAAGAAGCGGCCGTAGAAGTTGATAAGTCCTAGGAAGGATTGAAAGTGTTATTTATCTCGCGGTTCTGGACGGTCTGAATAGCCTGAACCTTTTTTTAGTTGGGTGGATGCCTTCCTTGTCAATTGTGTATCCCAGGAGAGACACTTGAGGCACTCTGAAACTGCACTTGTCCTTGTTCAGGCGGAGCCCGTCGTCACTGATTCTTTTCAGCACGGCACGGAGGCGATACTCATGATCTTCATCGTTCTGACTGCCGATCACAATATCGTCGAGAAACACTAAGACACCTTCGAGTCCAGTGAGAAGCTCTTCCATATAGCGTTGGAAGATTGCTACAGCCGTAGCGACGCCGAACTGCAGACGGGAGACTCTGAAGAGACCCCGATGATTGTTGACTGTTTGGAGGTCCTCTGTAGCTTGATTCACTACCTTCTAGTGGTAGGCCTGTTCTTGCTCCAAAGGCCATGGGGAATTCTTCACCGGACGGTGACACATGGTTCATGACAAAAGCTAGGCCATACGAAGAGACGTCGCAAGCCAATATTAAGGGACTCTCGACGTCGCAATGTGCCAACAAGGTCGAAGACTGTAGAAGATCTTTGGCGCGTCAGAAAGCTACTACTTCCTCTTCTCCCCACTTCCACGGTGCACCTTGGTCCAGCAACCGATGTAGGGTGCTGTGTACTGAAGTGTATCGTGAGAGAGCGCGGCGCGCGAGCAAGTGTCAACGCACCTGCGCGTGCCAACGCGAGCCACGGCCACATTAACGCTGAATGAGACCCCGGACATGGCAAGAGCGGCCGAGGCGGCCAGGTCGCATGCCACTGAAATTCGCGCCTCTGCGTCGACATCGGGGGCTGCAGTGGATCCAGAAACGTATCGGGTGGAAGGTGACACAGCGTCAAGGTCGCCTCATCGAACCACCTCACCGCAGAGGCCAGTCCCTCCGCCTTTCGTAACCGGTAACACAACAAGCAACACGGAAGAGCACCGTTCAAGGGCACTTTCTCAGAATGTATGCTGGAGTTGCAATGGTGCGCATGACCCCAAAGCATGCGGCTTTGCTGGGGCTGTCTGTCACTTTTGCAATAACAAGGGGCATATTGTTGCAGCATGCCGCCAAAAGGCGAGAGACGGACGTCAACGGTCAGCTGTTCGCAATAACAAGTTGGACAAGATGGGACCATTACCCAAGGATTATAAGGTCTTCACCATCGAGCGCCTGTGATCTGCGATGTTTTGGTCAATGGCCGTAGCCCGCGGATGAAAATCGACTACGGATCGGCCTTCACTGTCATCAACTCGCGTGCTATGCGCCAGTTCCACATCTTCAAGAGCTGCCTCAGACCCTGCGCCTTCCGACTACTTTCCTATACGCAGCAGTGCCTCGAAGTTCTCGGAAGTGGAACAGCCGACGTGTTTTTTAAGGAGAAGAAAGAACCAGTGGTTGTCAAAGGGTTTGGTGTGAGCCTGCTAGGGCTCGACCGGTTGCGGTCCTTGGACATCTCCTTTGAGGGGGTCCTTCATGTCGACACATCGCCGCCGCAGGTGGAACCGGCTGCGGTTTACAACGTGATTGACGAGTTTCCCGAGTTTTTTAGCCAGGACTATGAAGAAACAGGGAACCCCCTGTTCGTGTGGATGTCAACCCTGCTGCGACTCCCAAATGTTTTAAGGCTCCCAAGATTCCACTTTCGCCGCTGCCCAAAGAGGACGACGCTATCGACAAACTGGTCGAACAAGAAAGTTTTGAACCAGTACGGCAATCCTCATGGGCGACCCCAGTCGTTCCTGTTCTAAAAACGAGAACATTCGCTTGTGTGGTGATTACAAGTGCACAGTGAACCAAATCATTCCACGGGAAACATACCCTTTACCAACTGCCGATCAACTGTTCGCCAGACTGGCTGGGTGTGAGAAGTTTTCACGGCTGGCCCTAGTACAGGCCTACCACCAGAAGGCAGTGGATCAAGCTACAGCGGACCTTCAGTGCACAACAGGGGTTTATCCAAAAAGATTTCATCCCAAAGTTAGCTAATCCAGTTGTATTACTTAGACAGTTCGGCACATCGGATAAATTGGCCGCCTCGCTGGCATTTCCGAAATACCATCTAAGTGCAACGCATTCATAGGGCCTTTTTGCGCTCAAGCACATGTTGCGGGCACAGCAATAATGCCTCTGAAGGGCACATTGCGAGTTTTTTGTGGTTATATAAAGACGCCACAGAATCACGGAACACTGTATTGTCACGTGACATCACGTTGTCGCGCCAAGTCACGATGTTACAATATGGTCTCACGTTACGCCAGTGTCAAGTGACGCCACCTGGCGTGACGCCACATTGCCACGTTATGGTATGAGATAAACTCACGTAACTCAATGTTGTCAGTGTCACGTGACCTTATATCTTACGTCACAGTGTCATTTCGTGATGTCACCTGACGTGACGTTACCGCGTGACGCGCTTCAAGGGAAAGTGTGACACCTCAGTGCCACGTGTCGTCACCGTGTCCCGTAACGTCATGATGTCTCCCAAGGTCAGAATACCACTTCACGTTAGGTCACAATGCTGTGCCAAACTACAGGTTAGATGGAAGGGATCGATGACTGCTTGAAGGGACGACATAAATCCGTTTTTTGACGTATCGAGCTAAAGGTTTGCACAGTGGTGGCCGAAGGACGTCCATTAAAGTTATAGAAGATTAAATGAACAAACTTTCCAGAGTAATAAGTCAGAAATGAAAAACTAAAGATCCCTATTTACGGTGACCGTGTGCTCACCAAAGGCGTATGAGTGGTGCAACAGCCGATAGACTTCGGCATTACTTTCCCCGTCGACAGGTATGGCAGTCGGCTGTGGGAAGCACCGACTGCGGCATTTTCAGCGTTAACTTTGGTGATAACACCCCTGTTTTCTGTGGCTTGTTTGGAGCTTTCACTCTTCGTTGAGGCGCCTCACCCAGCGTAGTCTTGTAGGGGAGTCCGGAGGTCGCAGCCAAAGCTCAGTTTGAGAACGTCGGTGGACGTCCCTCATCTTCTGACATCCCCCGTACCACAAAGCAGCCTTCACTCGTTCTTTGGAAGCTAAGCGCATCATAAATATGGCTTGCATTTCTAAGCTGCACGGTTAAAAGTTGGAGCCAAGAAAAGAGACGCGATAAAAACAAGAGACTGCAGCCGAAAATAATTGTCGAGAAAATTTAAGTATAAAAACAAATCCTTTTTGTTGTTTTTGTTTTATCTTCACTTTGTATATTTTATTGACTAAAATAAAATAATAATTCACCAAAAATTGCGAACAAAAACAGTGAATCGCCTCTAGCTCCTAAACATCGCCTGCTATATCGTCGAGGTCTAGGGAAGCGCCCGTCGTTGTCGCCTGTAGAGAGCCTTAGCTTGACGAGTCGGTCCATCGCAAACCCAGGGGGTGCGTTTGCAATTTAATGGCTGACGCCTTCTGCGGAGTTTGGCCGCAAGTCCGCATGCGCTGCGTTTTCGCGTGGCTTGATGGAAAGCAGGCGGAAAGGCGGAGACGTTAGCAGACTATCAACTCTCCCGGCTCCTCCTCGCAACTCGTCTTGCAAATGCGACCCGTAAACCACGTGAACCCGATCAAGCAGTTAGACACTCTCCGTAACACTGGATCTCTAGCCGCCTGCGATCTTACGCGTCGCCACCTGTCGGTTGTTGCGCCAATCAAATGTCTTTCGGTACAGACGGACGCTGTAGGTAGGGATCTGAAGTTTTTTATTCTTAACTTTTTACTCAGGTAAGTTTGTCCAATAAAATGCTTATGCCGTTAACGCACGTTCTGTGGCCACCTCTGTACAAATTCTAAGCTCAATACTTTCACGAGCGGAATTATCTAGTCTTTACATCGATTCCTTTGTTTCACTTTGTGCATTCTTAAGTCAATGTCATAGTGTCACCTGATTTTACCGTGTTAAGTTCCGACATGGCTTCACGTGACGTGATATCCCATCACGTTGCGTACTGGGCAGCGAGATTATTCAAACGACAAACAGTATCGTGCCTCTTCAGTCAGCATGACAGCCTCCTCCGCGCACGATTTTCCTGAGATCTCCTTCGCACTACCCACCAGCAGCGACTCATTGCAACCTCTAACTGCCCAACCTAAAAAAAGAAGAAAGAATCAGGTTTTGTTTTATACTGCATGTGCCACAGTGCCGCCCACCGTTCAAAAGCTCTCGCGACCGGGTACGATGCCAAAGTAGTCCTCACGGGAAGAATAAGTTTCAGACAGCTTTGAAAGCGTGTGAACAATCCAGACCCTCCACGAGAGTGTTCCATCAAATACTCCAACAAATTGCCGCCTCGGTGGCTCCCAGGCGAGATCGCCGACGTACGGATCCCCATGTGGCGGGTTCGAATCCCGGTCGAGGTGCCCGCAATCTGACGGAGGCTTATTGCGAAGAAGGCGCCGTGTAACCGAGCTTTCGGTTGCACGTCAAAAGATCCCCAGGTGGTCGAAATTAATCCTCAGTCCTCCGCTGGGGCGTGCCAGATGCTCGTCGTTGGTTTGGCACGTAAAACCCCCAAATTTGACTCCAACAAATTAGTCAACTGTCAAGAACGACCTATTTCATTCGGTTATGTTGCAGTGGCCAGTATATCGGCCAGAGAGAAAGATATCTGAACGCTCGTCTTAAGGAGCACTTTCTGGAAGTCACAAAGGTGTCATCTGATTCATATCATCACATATGTGCATGCACACAGCTGCCCTGGCTGCGGCCCCCCCCCCTTTCATCAGAACGTAAGTCCTACGCACACACACACGAGCAAGCTATAGGAGGAGAAATGTTTGAATCTTACAAGATCAAGCGGTCCTTCAACATTTTGTCTATGCCTTCAATTTCGCTTTCGACGGTAGAGCTAAAATTCTTATCGCCCTAGCTGTTATAGCACCCTCGTCCTTTCTGTCATCTCTGCTCTTTTGTCCTACTGTTTTTGTCTGCCCCTTAATTTTGTCTTATCTTTTTTTTTATTTTGCTGCGGGAGAATACTAATGAACATTAGTAGATGTCGTCGCTCATCAAAATAACTGTGTATGTCTGCGTTCGTGTCCCTTCAATGATTTCATTCATCCTTTGTTTGTGTCGCGTTATAACTAGCGAGGAAAATAGGTGCAGTATGCAAGAGTAACATTAGAAGCTGCTAGCCACACGGAAAATTACACCTAGCGAGACACATAATTTTAATGCGAAAAAGAAATATTTGATCAATTTTCCTCTAACAGATTAAATTCGCAATTTTTTAAATAATCTAAAATATTTGATATGCCTTTTGTGCAACATCTGGTGCAGGCACTCACGTGAGCTGACCAAAGTGTAACACCTTGATAATTACGCAAACGTGAACCAATAAAAATGCACAAATTTTGATAAAACTTATTTGCCTTTTTCGCAGGATTGCCTGGGCGATATTGCTCAAAACGACAAACCCCTTGTATGCACAGGCTGCACACGTCAAGTATACGATAAGCTGAGAAGATGGCAGTCGGGGTGAGATATCCGGGCATCATTTTGGCCTCTGGTAGCAGAGGTCAATCCAGACACCCCTGAGACCGAATATAAAACTGTCCAATCTAATTGATGTTACGGCAGCAATGTTTACGCCCGTTTCTTTTTTTAAATTTTACGATGAAAATAAATGGCTATATTCAAAAGTTTGCTGTGCATGATAGATGAACTACACGCGGTGCTTTCGATCACGTACAATAATGGGGACCTCCAGTGTTATCATGAAAATGACACTGCATGTCACAAACGCGAAGGCAGGCGAAAAACGAACGGGCCTGTTAATAAAATTCCTCTTAGCGCCACCTAGCATTTGCACTTCGTTCTCTTGGATGCCTAAACGTCCCAAATATCGCAAAGTGGGCGAAGGAATTCGCATTGCACGTTAATCTCAGTTTTGGATCGTTCGGCATGGTCGAGAGCATTTAAATCATTCAAATCTTAGCTTTGCCTTATTGACTTGATTTTGGAGCAGCCCAGGAAAGACAAAGTATTTAACCAATATTGGATTAACAGGGGTTAACGTGATCGAATATTGGGACTGAACCGACAATGTGTGCACAACATCGGTTAATATCCCAAGCATCACGCCATTGTCGAGCCAACATCGGCTCATCATTGACAGATATTGGCACCGTATAGACCTAACGATGCATTTCACGGAAGGGTAAAAGGATCTTATGTTTGAACATTCACAGTTACCAATGTTAGACCTGGATTCAGTCAATGTTTTAGCCAATATGGAACCCCACATTGGACCACGTTTAAATAACATTGAACCCAACCTTGTGTAACCATTACTCCGATGCCTAAAGCACCATTGAATATTAGTTGTGTTCAATTTTACAGTCAGTATCTACTTCCAAAGTTAATCATTGGCTAATCCAATATTGAATCCCCGCCTTATCCACTAGCTATTTCGATCTCAACATACATTTTTAACCACGGACAGTTCCCTTTTCGGCAGCCATTTTTAGCAGGCATATGTTAGTGAACAGAAGAAGTTTATCTGAAAATAAAACTACATTGGACAAGGAATATTCACTGTTTATTTCCAGTTTTTTTCTCCTAGCCCAATATTTGTATCTGGTACAAACATTTTGACACGCTTGAAAAAAATGTCAGGTCAAAATTACTCGCAGGAAAATATATAAGTATCGAAATTAAATTAACAAGGCACAGTATTTGTGCGGTTCATACACTTCATCAAAAAGTTTAATAAAAGAAAATAGAAGTGAGTGCCAGGATTCATCACTCCATTCTGATAACTGTGCAGGAATTTGATAAGAACCCAAACCGGGGGTTGGGCCAATACCGCAGGAACGTTACTTTGAGGGTATGAGAGAAATGAATCAGAACCAGGACACGTGTATAAAAGAGCAAGTGAACAGAAAATAACAACTTTTAGTTATGAAAGTTAGATGAATCAAAAGAAAGCGTTACGAACCTTCAGGCGCAAATATAATCTACGAGTATTTAAAACAAAAATAAATAAATAGTTCAGTCCGAATAAATTTCGACGGTTCGTTGTGTCCCAGGGAGTTGCATTACTATGACTTGGTTCACCTGTGAGGATCTTGTGATGGACTGTACGGCCAAATCCCTTTTCACTTCACGTCAGATCGCGGTTAACGCTACCACCCTATGAAGCCAAAGAAACAGCGCTGAATTTGTATCGTCGAGCCATTTATATGATTGTACGTTTCCCGCAAGCAGCTATACCAATCGCGAATAAAAAAGATTGCGGCGCCTTGACTGTGCTAGACTGGTCTTATCGGTGGTAGAAAACGCACAAAGGCGATGAGTTCTGTGACGATGCGCTTTTGGCTTTTATTGGTTGGCTACAACGGATCCTAGCGTGGGCTGTGGTCGTACCTAGTTACGCGAAACGGAATATACCAACGTAAAAGGCGAGTCTGCTCAAGAACGTAAGGGCGGATCACGTGTTGGGCTCACTGAAGGGTGCTCCGGACTGCTGCCTCCAACCACGGTGGTGGTGATGATATACTCCGGAAGGTCCTTCCAGATCACAATGGCGTCCTGAAGGGGAGAACAAAGGTAGGCCGTTCAGTTGCATTTGGGCCGGGCTACCTTGCAGGGATGATCAAACATCAGAGACATGTAAGTAGGCGGGTGAAGCAGGGAGTGGTGTAAGGTTGGGTGGTAATAAATTGTGTGTGGAAAACAAAGCCGGGAAATGTTACGATGAACAGAAAGATTGGGTATGTTAAGCTGGGCATTCATGGCAGACACACTGGAGTAGCCAGACATGATTAAACAAACGGCGCAGTTCTGGACACACTAAATTTGGTTGCTCAAATTGGTTGGTGAGAACTCCAAATCGAATATGCATATTCTAATTTAGGGCGGACAAGGGTAGTATAGAAACGAAGTTTAAGAACAGGAGACGCGGACTTAAATTTGCGGCGTAAATATCCTAAACTGCGGTTAGCGGATGCCATGTTAGTATTTAATGAGTATGCCAGGAGAAAGCAGAAGTAATGAAGACAATGAGAAGCAATGTCGGGCAAAGTAGAAAAAATAAGGTCTAGAATGCTTGATGTAAATGAAGTGATTCTCGTAGGCTGCGTAACGAGTTGCGAAAAATTGAAATCAAGACATATTTGTAAAAAGTCGTAACATTTCGAAGAAAAATTATTCTAAAATGGTCGTTCGCTCAATTACACGATGTTGAGGTTACTAAAGTCGTCCAGTAAAGTTAGTGGGAGACTAGGAAAGCGAACAAAAACTTTATTATTAGCATCATGTAAATCTTGAACGAAATTAGAACTACTAGACGGGGGACGATAGCTGGCTCGAAAATCAACCCCGAGTGTCGCATGCGAAGATGAACAAACACAATTTCCAAGTTCTTACTTATATTAATATGGGATGATTCAAAGCAGTCTGATACAGCAATCAAGATGCCCCCACCGCACTTTTGACCTCTATTGTGTTGCACACTGAAACACTTGCTACAATTGAAAAGTTCGCTGTTATCCACCTTTGCCAAATCGCTACAATTGAAAAGTTCGTTGTTATCAACCTTTGCCGAAAGCCAAGCTTCAGTCAAAACGGTTGTCAGCCTCAGTGGAACCGATAACAGTGCATAAATCATTTCTTTTAGGAAGAATGCTACGAATATTATTAAACAGAACAGAAACTTGTTTTGGCACCGATGACAGGCCACCCCCCTCAGAAGTCGTCATTGCGGGGCGTTGGAAGCCAAATCAGCTACGTCATTATCTGCTGGTTCTCGAAAAACCTGAGTACCAGACGTGTCTTCATGCTCGCAGATACTGAGGGGACTGTAACTGAAGAACTTGCTGTTCATCAAGAGCTTGTTATAGCTTAATTCAAGTGCATTATTTTGTGATTTACTATATTTAACAAGCTTCTTCCAAGCATGTCTTGTAGTGGGTGAAAAATCTTCGCTGACAGTTGCGCTGCTAGGATTCAGTTTAGCACTTTAAAATAAAATGTTCTGCTTTATTTTAATGACTAGGATTTGGCTATGATCGGTCTGCATTTATTAACTGAAAATGAGGAGTCGCTATAGCATTTAGCAGTTTACCTTCTATTTGTGCCCAAGTTTCCGACTGAGCGTCATCCAAGCTATGAAAAGCAAATTATCCCGTGGAGACCTATCCTCTAGTTCTGCTTGTGTAACTCTGAACGTGGAATTATTATTTAAAAGACATGCAACTTGTTGGCGCAACGTAACTAGCTCTTGTTGGACGACCTCACAGTCGGTGCAGGTAGTCTCTTATCGACTTCCGTGACTTTAGCCTAAATTAACTTCTAAAATTTTAAATCTCATATATGGGTTTGATTATAGGTCCGACTGCTCATTATCTATTTTTTCGTACGAGTTTTAACACCTTGTAAGAAAGTGAACATAATATTAAATTGTTTTAGTTGTCCCTCTATCAAGGAACCTAGTTCCTGAGACACCTGAGACTGCGTGGTGCCGGGATTCAGCTCTATGTCCCCAGAATAGTACGACAAGTTGGCCGACCGCGTCAACACAGGAAGGCAATGCACACTGGTCGCTACCTAAACTTCTCTTCAAACCACCCAGCAACTCACATATCCACCGTGGTGTTGGCGCTCTTTCAGCGCGCCATCACGGTCTGATCAACAAAGAAATCACTTAAGATAGAAAACGATCTGATAAAACGAGAGCTTCGAGAAAGCAACAATCCCAGAAGATTCGTCAACAAGATATACAAGAAACTTCGTCACCCTCCCACATCGAAGAACAAAAACACCTCCATAGTACGAGCGAGGTCCTAGCCCGCGCTCTGAGGCCATACGGTATCGCAGTTACACATAAGTCCGTCTCAATCATAAGCCACTTTTTTCATCTTCCAAAGGATAGTCTCCCGAGAAAAAAGTTCAAGGCCCAATTTACCGAATTATGTGCTGAACGCGACGCCTCGTATATAGGCGAAACGAAGAACTTTCCTGAACGTGTGCGCAGACATGCGTATACGTATGTCTGAACAGGTATGAAAATCCCTGATCTTGGCTAAGTATGGAAATTTCAGATCTGGACAGGCATATCAAAAGAAGCACAAAAGCCTGAAATCTGCAATTTATATTATTTTATTGTCTACAAAAGACCATTTGCTAAATCCCACAAGTGCCCCGGCGCGCACTCGAGGAATCGGTGTTCCTTCAGCTCCCTAGTGATCGGCAATTTCGACCAATTTTATAGTTATGCAGATTTGAGCGTAATTCGGTGTCACCCTGAACAAGCGTCCTATAGAACCCACGGACATGTGGTGTCGATTTTAAAACTTCCTGTCAATGCCAGCGTTTCTGATACTGTGCATGCAATCCACCTTTCAGCCTGGCGGAGGCGCAGAAATCTCTTACAATATTATCATTGTCGTGATTGTTGTCTTAGGAGAATTTGCTTAAAAAGCCGAGAAATAACAACAACCAAAACCAGAATTTAGCAGACAGCGGACTGTTTCTAGCATA